TGTCTGTGAGAATGGTTGTATGTATGCAAGCATATATAAATGTGAAAAAATACTTATAAAGGTTTTAATGTAAGAGCTTACTATTAAATTAATATAAAGTTATATGTTATCTCAAACAATGTGACTGCACACTGAACTATGAATTCCAATGCAGAAGTCATTACCTCTACTGGACGTTGGTTATGCCTCTTAACTTGACTTCAAAGATGGCATAGGCATGCTTAGCCAGGCTTGACCCCCAAGTCATGTGATCAGGTTAGCCTAAGCATCTCCTTGCTATCCCAGTAAAGTTCATATAGCTCCAACTACAACAGTTCATTACCAATATTTCACTGACCTTCATTACTTAGTTTCAGTGATTTTAAACTCCATGTTCCCAATAATATTCAACTCCATGTTCCCAGTATTTTTAAACTCCATGTTCCCAATAATATTCAACTCCATGTTCCCAGTAATATTTAACTCCATGTTCCCAATAATATTCAACTCCATGCTCCCAGTAATATTTAACTCCATGTTCCCAGTAATATTTAACTCCATGTTCCCAATAATATTCAACTCCATGTTCCCAGTAATATTCAACTCCATGTTCCCAGTAATATTTAACTCCATGTTCCCAATAATATTCAACTCCATGTTCCCAGTAATATTTAACTCCATGTTTCCAATTATATTTAATTCTATGTTCCCAATTATATTTAACTCCATGTTCCCAGTAATATTTAACTCCATGTTCCCAGTAATATTCAACTCCACTGTAAAATGCCTTTTCTCCTGTAGAACAAGTACTGATCGCCTGCAAACAGTTTAATGCGAATGGATCTAATCCTTCATCTGGAACGTAAAGCTCTCCATTACCTGGGTTGTCTGTGTTGACTGCTGGTCCTGACCTGCACAAGACTGCAGATGACATTAGACTGGTGTAACTGTGGCAGGTGCTGTAACTAACTTCTCTGGATGCCCAATGGGGTGTATGGCATTGGCCCTGATGGTCTGCCGTTCAGATTTAGAATGTTTGATCACAGAATGGTAAACTTTCAGGTATCAGTTGGGGGGGGGGGGGGGGGGGGATAAACCACTGATCACTGACTGCATTAGAACTTGCTTCTTTATATATACAGTTTATGTTGAAGTTAAAAAAAAAACACCCATTCGTGCGTCATTCCTGTACTTCCAGTCAATTCGGCAGATAGGCTGGCTGACTGTTTTTTATTAATGTTTTGCTTAGGACAATTGTCAGCCACTGCATTTTCCTCCATATGTAGCCTGAAAGGATATAGTTCATCACCCAGCGTCTGAGCTGAGCGCACATCACAACACTGTGAGCTGTGGATTTCATTTAAATGCTTTTTGACTTTGCCCAGTGTGGTTTTGTAGGGAGCTGCAGATTCAGAAAATGGCGAGTAGCCAGTTTCCAGAGATAACTGGTGGTGTCGTATATGGTTAATGGTGTGTGCATCTACTGATTCCACTGTTGTTGAACTGCATCTGAAGTGTTGGACTTTTGGTGTTGGTACTTCTAAAGGCTGCCTTATGCATGTGTATGCTAGTGGCTTTGCTTAGGCTGTCTGTGTATATTTTTTCACATAAGACGGTGATGGTTTTTAATGGCCTAGGAGTGGAGCAACTAGGAGGTGACCCATTTGCTGTGACATTGGAACTGCGATGACCTGATTATTCTTGTGCTGATTGTGAACATATCTGAGATGCCTTCTTGTGTTCTTACTGTATATGTGACTAGTGGTACAAAAATGTGATGTTTTCTAACTGTCCCAGTGTGATGTGGATTTAAAACAAACTTCACAAATATAACTCAATAAGGATGCTGAGATGTCTCATCGCATGTGATGATGATAAATCAGAACTAGGGTTCATACTGGTCTATACCTTTAAATGGTCATTCAGAAACAAGTTCCTAACCGGGGACCTAGCAAACACAAATAATATATCTCATTCCTCAAAGTCCGAGCACATCATTCTGAGAGTCGAGCAACCAAGAGAACGAATACCAAAAGCCAGATTTTTAAAATGCATGTGCATGCATGAATCAAGTCCTGGACTAAGACCAAAGTCAAGATGTGGACTTACTAACAGGATTCTCTGATGGAGGTCACAGTTAGCAAATTTAGAAGAAAATGAAGACGAAAAATAAGGAGAAGAACTAGAAGGAGAAGAAAAAAAGTAAAAAAAAGTATAAAATCTACAATACAGCTGTATTTGTGGACAGAAATAGTGTAGAATTAACAAGTATTCACTAATTCAAATAAGATATCTCAAACATGCCTTTTATACTTTTAACAAATTTCACATAATAAACACATATACATATACTTTAGTAAATTATTTCATAGAATTCCAGTTATTAGCTTGACTGCAGTCGCCCCATATTTTCAACACTTATTTCACAGTGCAAATACTACATAATACAAGACAGTATCTTGTATAAACTGTCAACAAAGTATTCCATGCATGTCTTTTCTCCCCACAACACAGCTGTGTCAATTTAAAACTATTTTAGCAATGACAGTAGTATTTGATTTTCAGAGTCATTCGAACAAACCCATATATCGACTAAAGAATACCAACTGTATACTGTTGCTGTTGAACAAATATGAGCTGTGAAGTTTTGAAACCTCTCCCAAAGGCTTTAACACAAACATATAAAATGTATATTAGCAGATGTGGCAGAATTAACATAGCAACTGCTAGGAATGAAGCATGCACCAGGTACCATCAGTGAAAGCTGCTGTAAGCTTTCAGGCAAGCAGCACACTACCTGATGCCATGGGGGATACCCCCCCCCCCCCCCCCAAGGAAATTTTACCATAAAACTTAATGAAACAATCAGGTTCCGTCACCACACTGTAAGCTGACTGGATTGGATCTCCAACCCATTTTCACTGTGTGTCACGCTGTTTACCTCTTGCTTGTTTGCATTCAACTTAACCTCCAGTATGGTTTTTGTTGAAATTGTTATATAAAACTTAACTCTTCAGCCATGAGAAGCTAAAAAACCTGAACACTTCCAGTTGGGCCCATTTCCCCGTAAATGTCACTATTCCCTTTTGTCTATAGTTTAGGAGGCGCATAGTTAATGCTATTGGCTGAGTTTGCATCTGCGCAGTTAGAAGGTCAGGAAATGTATGCATTGCTAATTATTGCATTTAGGGTGATTTCCTTTGAGCCAAATGGCTTTTTTTTAAAGGGTCATAGTTTCCCGTAAGACTCAGGGACAGAGGTGCCGGGGTCATGGCATGAGTCACCCGATACATGTGTTTCTGAGGCTCAGGGGGATGTATTTCACTGAATGTTGTACCCCGTTCAATTTTTTTATTACTCCTTTCATCTTTCTGTATATGATTTGACAAAGATGAAAATGTAGATAAATAAATTCACAAATTTATTAACGACATGTACATAAAAAAATATTTTTTTAAACAGATTTTCTTCTGGAATTCTAATGGGGCCATTACCTTCTTTCTTAAAGTGTTCCCGGGGTCAAGGGTGAAAAAAGCTGTGATAATAAATAAGCCATTTGGCAGAATGAGTACTGGTAACATTTCTCAGAACCATTTAAACAGTGATAGAAGCCTATTACACACAACTTGCATCATGATGATGATGACACACACAACTTGCAATCTGTTGGTTCCTAAATATAACTTTGTTTTATTTGAACTAATAACAATTCCTACACTACAGTTCGCAAACTTCTGTTTACTACACACAACTAGCAAACTATTACAGACAAAGTAAAAGTGAAATACTTTTTTTTTGTTTTTTTGCGCTAAGGGTGCATCTGGCATTTAAAGTTAAGCTCATGATTTTGTTATGGGCACTTGATACGGCAATTGTTTACGAGATATATCTCTGAAAAATACTATGTCTGGGCTGAACTTGCTTCTGTTGCTGACGCTCAAGGAAGCTACTAATAGCTAAGGTTTTCATTCTATGTCTGGGTTGAACTTGCTGACCCTCAAGGAAGCTCCTAACAGCTAAGGTATTCATACTATGTCTGGGTTGAACTTGCTGACCCTCAAGGAAGCTCCTAACAGCTAAGGTATTCATTCTATGTCGGGGCTGAACTTGCTGACGCTCAAGGAAGCCCCTAATAGCTAAGGTATTCATACTATGTCTGGGTTGAACTTGCTGACCCTCAAGGAAGCTCCTAACAGCTAAGGTATTCATACTATGTCTGGGCTGAACTTAATGACGCTCAAGGAAGCCCCTAATAGCTAAGGTATTCATACTATGTCTGGGTTGAACTTGCTGACCCTCAAGGAAGCCCCTAATAGCTAAGGTATTCATACTATGTCTGGGTTGAACTTGCTGACCCTCAAGGAAGCTCCTAACAGCTAAGGTATTCATTCTATGTCGGGGCTGAACTTGCTGACGCTCAAGGAAGCTCCTAACAGCTAAGGTATTCATTCTATGTCTGGGCTGAACTTAATGACGCTCAAGGAAGCTCCTAACAGCTAAGGTATTCATTTTATGTCTGGGCTGAACTTAATGACGCTCAAGGAAGCTCCTAATAGCTAAGGTATTCATTCTATGTCGGGGCTGAACTTGCTGACGCTCAAGGAAGCTCCTAACAGCTAAGGTATTCATTCTATGTCTGGGCTGAACTTGCTGACGCTCAAGGAAGCTCCTAACAGCTAAGGTATTCATTCTATGTCGGGGCTGAACTTGCTGACGCTCAAGGAAGCTCCTAACAACTAAGGTATTCATTCTATGTCTGGGTTGAACTTGCTGACCCTCAAGGAAGCTCCTAACAGCTAAGGTATTCATTCTATGTCTGGGCTGAACTTAATGACGCTCAAGGAAGCTCCTAACAGCTAAGGTATTCATTCTATGTCTGGGTTGAACTTGCTGACCCTCAAGGAAGCTCCTAACAGCTAAGGTATTCATTCTATGTCGGGGCTGAACTTGCTGACGCTCAAGGAAGCTAGTAATGGCTAAGGTATTCATACCATCACACAACATGTAGCAGCAATGTTGGTTCACAAGCCCATCAGACGAACACATTCCTGGGGGGAAAAAGTAGAAAAGTTACAAAGAATATCTTCATATTTTTTTAAAGAATACAATTAAATGAGAATTATCTACTCATTCTCCCATGTAGAAGTGCATCTGGCAGAGAGACGAGAAACTAACAGTCTGCCTACAAATAAGCCATCTATAAAATGGATGTGCACACAAGTCTCAAGTTTTGGAACAAGACTGAAGTTCAGAAGTGAATGAACAAAACAAACTTCCTAAAGGAGATTACAGCCGTAAATGTGAAGAAAAGGAAGAAGACTACCCACACATTGCTCAGAACAGTAAACAAATGTATTCTTCACGTACAGAATAATATAAAGTAAAAGAACCCTTTTCCACACCTTTAAGCATACTGGGCATACCCTACTAGAGTTTTAATTTTTAGACAAAGTGGCGCTCACTTAGTTATGTGGTCCACATCATGCCAAATACCTTGACTTCCCAGCACTTCACCTGGTACCAGTTTATAAACGAGTCTGGTAGTCTGGTAGTCTTAGTTTCAGCTTCATAGCAAATGGGTCACCCCATCTTTGCTCCGCTCCTGTGCCAAAGAAAAACACACAGAATGTTTATCACAGTATTAGAATTGCAGTTCATCATTGATGGTAGCAGAAGTCGCCAACAGATCAGCAGTTGCCCACGTGATCAATTTTAATCACATACGGGCACCACAACACTGCACGACAGGCATCGCGCCATTTTCTGAATCTACAATTCACACCAACATGTTGGTCACAGTCGAAAAAACATTCCAAATGCAATCCGCAGCTCACAGGGTCACGCCATGCATTCAACTCAGAAGCTGGGTGACGAAACTATATCCAGTCTACAAATGGAGCAAAAAATGCATCGGCCACCGTCCGGCAGAAGCAAAAAATTTTCCTGTTTCGAACAGTGCAGTTGCCTAACGTCCTGGGAGCCAAGGTCATAAATGAAAACATCCGGCTATCAACAATTATAAGACAAAGAATATGGATATGTACTGGGCACATCCAGAGAAGTGAACAGAGAATCACCAAACAGTCACTGAAATGGGAAACAAATGGGCTGATGTGACAAGAACACCTACAAGAAACCCTAAGACAAACATGGATGAGAAAGGTCAAAGACACTGGGAAGGATTTTATTCATAAGACTTGAACAATTGCACAGGTCAGAATAGATCAAAGAATGAAACTGTGAGCTCGATGTGATGTATAATGCACAACATGATCATGATGTTCTTCTTTGTTTTTTCATTGACAGGCTGTAGAAAGTTCTAGTTTTTGATCTACTTCTGTACCGTTGTCTGGCTCCAGAATGTAATGGTGCTTAATATAGGAACAGAATAAGAGGTCTGACTGGTTAGTGGAATTAGGGAAGTTCTCAGGTTGCGAGGCACGAGGTCAACATGGGAACACGAGATACAGTGAGTTTGCTTGGGCAACACAAGACAAAGGGGGTAAGAAAAACTGGTCATTCTCTGACCGGACCCCAGAGTGAAAGTGGATCCAGAGTGATAGGTTTGAATGTGGATCTGGATGGAGCTCAAATGAACGTTAGTCCTGAATGGCAAGAAGTGAACCTGTGTTGAATTACAGTTGAGGACAACAGTTGTGTTCTAGGGCCTGTTGGCTGTGCCAGTAAGTACATGCTAATGTCCATCGTCTGAAGCATGGCAGTAGACTTACAGAGTGTAAGCAAAGCGACCTTGCCCGTACGGCGTAAGTGTTTGGCTGTAATGTTGATTCTTGTCGCTTGTGTTGTATTGATAATAAACGCATGAATTGCTGTCTACCTTCATCGACTGTCATTTAGAGAGCTGTGATAATGGATGGGAAGAGAAGTTGGACTTGTCTGTACTGTGATCCTGACCCCTAGACAACTGAGCTAGTGTCGAATCTGTATGAGGGTGACTGAGTACGAAGGAGACACATTACACAGAACTTGAGTTTTGCGTGCACATCTGTTTTACAGATCTGGCTTATTTGTAAGCAGACTTTCTTCCCTCTCAGGCAGATGCACTGCTACTTTGAAGGAAAAACCTCGAATTAGTTGCCTCTTATAACATGCCTGACCCCGACGAACCCACAAAGGGAGATGATGATGAAGAGAATGACTGCAATGCTTGCACAGACAAGCCCACCAACCTTGGTCAGTAAATAGCCAGGCTCTGCCAGCTTGTCTACAATACTAAAATGGTCCACATCAGGCACGTCAATGTAATTTGTCCTCACACCGTTGTCTCTCAACATCTACAGAAAGAACAAAATACACTGTCAAGCAGGTGTGCCGCCAACAAGAAATCTGGGTGTGCAAAAAGGGAGGGTGGGATCATTTTCTGGGACTGGAGCTCCAGAAAGATGAGCCTTGTTGACGCATGCAATAACAATAATATTATTATTAGGTGCTGAATGGCAACAACAACAACAAAACAAAAACAAAAAAACAAAAAAAAAAAAAAAAAAAAAAACACACACACACACACACACACACACACACACACACACACACACACACACACACACACACACACACACACACACACACACACACACACACACACACACACACACACACACACACACACACACACACACACACACACACACACACACACACACACACACACACACACACACACACACACACACACACACACACACACACACACACACACACACACACACACACACACACACACACACACACACACACACACACACACACACACACACACACACACACACACACACACACACACACACACACACACACACACACACACACACACACACACACACACACACACACACACACACACACACACACACACACACACATATATAAACACACAAACCTGCATACACACACATATATATAAACACACAAACCTGTACACACACACACACATATATGAACACACAAACCTGTAGACACACACACACACATATATGAACACACAAACCCGCATACACACACACACACATGTAAACACACAAACCTGTAGACACACACACACATATATGAACACACAAACCTGCATACACACACACAGCAGCACACGTCATCCCCCTCCCCTGCTACAGCACATGCCATCTCCCCCCCCCCCCCCCATTTTTTAAAAACTGCTTAGACTTCTTAGATAACTCACTGCCCCCCACGGATCTTATTAGTTAATCCCAGCTCCTTTTTCTTCTTTTTAGTGTTCAGCAGGTGTCAACTGTGGCGGAAAGTTCTAGCCGTTGGTCAACTTCTGGTCTTCTTTAGTGTTCAGCAGGTGAAAACTGTGGCAGAAAGTTCTGGTTGTTGGTCAACTTCTTATCTTCTTTAGTGTTCAGCAGGTGTCAACTGTGGCGGAAAGTTCTGGCCGTTGGTCAACTTCTGGTCTTCTTTAGTGTTCAGCAGGTGAAAACTGTGGCAGAAAGTTCTGGTTGTTGGTCAACTTCTTATCTTCTTTAGTGTTCAGCAGGTGTCAACTCTGGCAGAAAGTTCTGGTTGTTGGTCAACTTTTTGTCTTCAGAATTTGAGTTTTGTATACACATCTATTTTACTGATCTGACTTAAGTGTATGCAGATTCGCTCTCTGCCTCTCAGGCAGATGCTCTCTGACTTCCCCTAAATGGCTGCCTTTCACAACATGATTGTTGAAAACAACAGTGGGTTTATTTTTTTGTGGGGGGGACGTAAACAAAAAATGGGGGCCCAAAACCCAAACAGGGAAATCACAGTTGTGACTTTATGGCAAATTGGTGACTTATACCTAGCTCTGCTTATGTGCCAGTGGAAACCACACTATCATCCATCAATGAAACAAAAATGCTGGGAGTTTTTGCACACCTCTGGCTTACCAGGGATAATGCATCAGACTGTATATCAACTTTTATTTCACAAAACACAAATAATCCAAAATATTGGATCATCACAGTCTTCTTCTTCATCTTCTTCTCCTTCATCTTCTTCTCCTTCTTCTCCTTCACCTTCTTCTCCTTCATCTTCTTCTCCTTCATCTTCTCCTTAATCTTCTTCTTCTTTTTCTTCTTCAAGTTCACTGGCTGTAAACTGTGGCAGAAAGTTCTGGTTCTTCACTCAATACTGAACTTTAGTCTTGTTCCAGAACCTGAGTGTTGCATGCACATCCATTCTGATCTGACTTACTTAAATGCAAACTGTTAGTTTCTTACCTCCCAGGAAGATGTACTTCAAACTTTGAAGGAAGTCCCCAGTTAGTCGTCAACTCCTACGACATGCTTACTGGGAAGGCAGTGGGTCTATTCTTGTTCTCCCCACAATAGGGCCCCAGAACCTACATGAGGGAATCACAGTCTGAAGAGAAGGGTGTAGCCAGAAGTGACCAGGGGATCTGGCAGTCACTCAAGACTCAAGGGAGGGGCAAGGCAGACACACCATCAGATCGTTAGTGGTACCATTGGAAGTGGAACTCTCTGCCGGCTGCTGAAGTAGGAGATGGAGCACTTACAGGAATTTCCCAAGTGCTATGATGTGTGGGTTCTTAACTCATAACTCAAGGTACTAGACCAATTGGAGCCGCCGTAGTGTAGCAGCTAGACCTTCAGGTCAGGGCTGGACTTTGTTTAAAAAATGACTATGGCTCTCAGGTCAACCCAGCCTTGAGTGGGTACCAGGTACAGTCCTGGGAAGTAAAGGCAGCAGGCGTGATGCTGACCACATCACCCTCTGAGTGCCGATTGGTCTATAAACATAGGTCTTGCCCTATACGCCAGAAGGCGTGTAAATGGTTCCTTTACTTGACTCGACTTACTAGACCAATATTTGTAAAGACCAATATTTGTAAAGACCAATATTTGTAAAGACCAATCAGCCCTCAATTAATTATGTGGTCAATATAAAATACTGCATGCCACCTTTATTTCCCATTACTGATATTTTCTGTTATTGATAAGGCTAGGCCATACTGTTTCAATTAACAAAGTGAAGCATTAAACTGAATGCATTCCCCATTATGTTATTAAACTGGGACCCACCGGGAAGGCTAACCCGGTCAACAAATGCCCGAAGAAGTTGGATGTGTTGGCCGAAAGGTGCAAATATCGCAGCCATGCTGTAAACAGACACAACGCAATTACACCTTCGGATGAACGCAGAAGAAACTGTGACCCTGTCAGATTTCTAGCACTAAGGTTACGTACAAATTATCACTTCAAAAGAATGTTTAAAAGCAATTTTGTTGATAGAAACTCCAACATGTTATTGTTAGTAAATATACAGATAACTGGGCCTCCTCTAAACACTACCCAGGCACACACGCACACACAAAAACAAAACTCTTAACTGGAAAGGGAAAGGGGGTGGGGGAGGGGGGGGGGGGGGCGAAGCGAAGGCCATAGAAAGAATGCAGTGTTAGTGGGACTGAGTTACAGTCAGAATTGGTGGATGTCTGGTCTCTCCAGAAATGATGGTTGTCTGGCTTCTCCAGAAGTGATGGTTGTCTGGCTTCTCCAGAAGTGGTGGTTGTCTGGCTTTTCTGAAAGTGGTGGTTGTCTGGCTTTTCCAGAAATGGTGGTTGTCTGACTTCTCCAGAAGTGGTGGTTGTCTGGCTTTTCTGAAAGTGATCGTTGTCTGGCTTTTCCAGAAATGGTGGTTGTCTGGCTTCTCCAGAAGTGGTGGTTATCTGGCTTCTCCAGAAGTGGTGGTTGTCTGGCTTCTCCAGAAGTGGTGGTTATCTGGCTTCTCCAGAAATGGTGGGACAAGGGACCCTGTATGAGCTGTTCTAAATAGATACCTGGTTACTTCTTAACTTTTTCAGTTTCAGACGATAATGCAGATAAGATATTTATTTTATTTCTTTGCTATTCATGAATTCATCTCATTTAATGTTCATCACTTTGTTTTTATAGAAACACATTTAACACTCACTTTCTCTATTTCCCCACTCTGTCTGCGGAACTCCGGTGGATCATACTCTCCAACTGCAACTATAATATGTCGGTTCTGAGACTGATGGGAAATCTCTTGAATGAAGTTCAGAGGGCTGTACCTCCATGCTTCATCTCTGTGGATTTGCATCAAACTAAGTAGTCTCCTGATGGTAACGTATAATTCAAGAACTATTTTATTTATACAACAACAACAAAAAGAAAAAAAAAAAACGATAAAAAAAGAAACCTTGTCAGAAAATCAAATAATTCAGATAAGCAATAACTTGGTCAAATCCAGCCAGCACAGGGCTAACAAGTGGCGTGCTGACCACTGATGACTGTCCTGTATCAATGATGTTTGTATACTGGGCAGCCTGGCCACTGAACCTGATGATCCCAAGTGTCCACTCTTTAGCCACTGAGTTAACTTAGCTAAATAGCCCTGATGTACAGCAACTGACCATGCCAGTCAACAACTGACCATGCCAGTCAACAACTGACCATGCCAGTCAACAACTGACCATGCCAGTCAACAACTGACCATGCCAGTCAACAACTGACCATGCCAGTCAACAACTGACCATACCAGTCAACAACTGACCATGCCAGTCAATGACTGACCATGCCAGTCAACAACTGACCATGCCAGTCAACAACTGACCATGCCAGTCAACAACTGACCATGCCAGTCAACAACTGACCATGACAGTCAACAACTGACCATGCCAGTCAACAACTGACCATGCCAGTCAACGACTGACCACGCCAGTCAACGACTGACCATGCCAGTCAACAACTGACCATGCCAGTCAACAATTGACCATGCCAGTCAACTGACCATGCCAGTCAACAACCATTGCAGTCAACGACTGACCATGCCTGTCAACAACTGACCATGCAAGTCAACTGACCATGCCAGTCAACAACTGACCATGCCAGTCAACAACTGACCATGCCAGTCAACTGACCATGCCAGTCAACGACCATTGCAATCAACAACTGACCATGCCAATCAACAACTGACCATGTCAGTCAACAACTGACCATGTGTCAACAACTGACCATGCCAGTCAACAACTGACCATGCCAGTCAACAACTGACCATGCCAGTCAACAACTGACCATGCCAGTCAACAACTGACCATGCCAGTCAACAACTGACCTTGCCAGTCAACAACTGATCATGCCAGTCAACAACTCGCCATGCCAGTCAACAACTGGCCATCCCAGTCAACAACTGACCATGCCAGTCAACAACTGACCATGCCAGTCAACAACTGACCATGCCAATTAACAAATAACCATGTCAGTCAACAACTGGTCATGCCAGTCAACAACTGACCATGACAGTCAATAACTGGCCATGCCAGTCAACAAATGACTGATGGATCTCCTCATGTTTGTTATATCTAAGTCCTAAATGGCCAGTAAGTTACTGGGACCCTCAGTAAAAGCCACAAAACTGAACTATGCATCCGACTAAACAAGTAGGTTTATTTATATGTGAGTTGTAACACATCTTGTAAAAAAATACATCAGCTGCAAAATGTCAACCAATTGGTTTAGGACCTAGTCTAGATTTGGGGGGGGGGGGGGGGGTGGAGGAGGGGAAGGATTAGGAGGAAGTGAAAGAGGAGAAGACGAAGAGGTAGAGCAGGAGGAGAAAGATGAAGATAAAGAAAAAGGAGGAAAAAGAGGAAAAGGAAGAAGAAGGAGAATGACAGGAGGAGGAGGAGGAGAAGATGAAGAGGTGGAGCAGGAGGAGGAAGATGAAGATAAAGAAAAAGGAGAAAAAGGAAGAAAAGGAAAAAAAAAAGAAGAAGAGAATGAGGTGGCGGAGGAGGAGGAAGAGGAAGAACAAGAACAAAACGAAAAAGGGAAAAAAAAGAAGATGAAAAAGAAAAAGAAGAAGAGAATGAGAGGTGGCGGAGGAGGAGGAAGAGGAAGAACAAGAACAAGAAGAAAAAGGGAAAAAAAAAGAAGATGAAAAAGAGATGGAGGAGGAGGACAACAAGAAGAAGCACAAGAGCTGTGTTTGGAGCCCTGTCTTGTGACAATCTGATTTGTAAAGTTAATGAAATGAAAACCTATTAGCAAATGAGTTTATTTTCAGCAGAATGCAACAGTTAATGAACAGACTCCATACCACAAAAGGTAATTGTGTACCCTTTACAGATGCCGACCTGCGTAGGGAAGAAAGAAAGAAGCCTTCTTGTTCTCTTTTGTCCCTGTTTGCCTTTCACAGTCTGAACTTACATATTATTTCTTGATTTAAGTGGGCACTGTTTCTGTCCCAACTTGTTTCCTGAAATCATCCTTTCTTAACATACCCTTTCATATCATAGCTAGGATTCATCACAGACATTTCATGTCTGTTGTTGCAGAAAGTTAACAAACATACCACAGAATGGGATTATTTCATTCTTATCAGTATGCCCAAGAATAATGCAACTTACTCTGAGAGCTTCAAAGCCACGTTATTGGAGGTCTTCGTGAGAGGTCTAAGGTCATAGACACCGCTCACCAAAACAGCACCTAATATAGTACAGAAACCAATGTTACATAAAATGGTCATGGTCAAGTAGATACAAACATGTCACAATCAAAATGGTCAGTTTCCCGTGTGGGTTCCGGGGTCTCAATGTTGGAGAATTACAGACCCATTGCCTCCCCAACAAGCATGTTGTACGAGTCAATTAACTGGGGGCTTTCTTTGAAGACAGAGTGCATCTGCCTGAAAGGCAAGGAACCAACAATCTGCACACTGTTGAGTCAGATCTGTTGAATGAATGTACACACAACACTCAGGTTCTAGAACAAGGATAAAGTCAAGAGGTGGAGGAACAATCAGAACTTTCTGCTGGAGTTTACAGCCGCTGAATGTCAAGAAGAAGAAAAGAGTGAGACAGATATAGTCTTAGTCTTAGTCGAGGTTTCAACATCACCACAATCAGGTTTCTACATATGTGCTCCGTTCCTGTGCCAATGCAAATCAAATGTCCCTGACTGTTGAAATTGAAAAACTGTTGAACAAACAACGTTCGGTAACATTCCAGAAATGTTTGCATGCAGTATTGACGTATTTCAGTTGCTGGAGGTGCCATAGCCAAATACAGCTACTAGAAATGTCGTTAGTCGTTAATGGAGGTAGTCGGGAATGATAAGTTGGTTACTATACAAATGTAGAATTATTACATAAGGTATTTCACTAGCTCAAATGCAAACCGACTACTGGCCATACTGAATACCGCCATAAAACTGTTGCACAAATGAAAGCATTCAACAGGGAAAACACAGCTCACAGGGCTGCAACCAAGCACTAAACTCAGCAGCTCAGGCAGCGAAACCGTAGAGTACCGTGCTTATATGAAAACTGCATAAGCAAAGAGCTGTCGGAAACAAAAACAAAACATTTAAGCTTAACATTCTGCCAAGTCTTTCCTTTATTTTTTTCAGATACAATCAAGTAAGTATAGGCCCTCTAGGAGTCGCCGTGGTGGAGCGGCTAGACGCACGCCGTGGATCGGAAGGTTGTGGGTTCGCTCCCTGGTGGAGCCGAACTTTTTTTCCTCAAAAATGACCTTGGCTCCCAGGTTGACCTAGCTTTCAGTGGGTACCTGGTGCAGTCTCGGGAAGTAAAGGTGGCCAGCGTGATGCTGACCACATCACCCATCTTGTGCCGATTAGTCTATAAAAATATAGGTCTAGCCCTATATGCCCTATACGACTAAAGGCGTGGAAAAAGTTCCTTTCCTTTTTTTTTTAAATATTACTTTTTTTTTTATAGGCCCTTTACTAGACTCGTAATTTATTTAGAATCAGCCCTTTATGGGCGATGTGGTCAACATCATGCCGGCCACCTTTACTTCCCATGACTTCGGCTGGTGCCTATTTAGGGCTAGGTCAACCTGGGAGCCAAGGTCATGTTTGAAAAACACTCCATCACTGTGCAGATGTGAACCCATGACCTTCAGATCTACAGCCTCCTAATGTAGACAAAATAATTTGTAACATCTTAAACTGTAATAGCAAAGTTGATAAACAATGTGTTAATCTGAAATGGCTGCAACAAAGTAGAGACATTAATGTGTAGTACTTGACGTAGTTATAGCAAAAAAGATTTTTAAAATGTGTGAGGTTTGTAATGGCAATAGCGGAATGAATGAATGAATGAATCAAGCAGTGACACTACTGCACTCGGGACATTCCCACAAGTGCTCTGTCCCCTTCTGCAGTAGCTAACCAAGAGCTGACATGCTAAAAGTACCAGTTGCATCCTGAATAAAAGTCTACCTAAGTTTCTTCCAGAACCTCCAGTCACCCCCCCCCCCCCCCCCCCCCCAATTAGTCTTTCAGTGTATGAATTCTCTATCAGTTATTTTGCGCTGTCCATTTGATCCTACAGAGCCTTTCCCACATCCGCTTTATCATATACTAGCTCATTGCCCAGAGGAGCGACAGTAGCCAATCTATCAGCCTGTGTGTAACATTTGAAAAGCTAATAACATGGTAGATACAACAATGTGAAACACTTGAAACTTTTACAGCAACAGAAATACAAACATTTGTAATACATAAAATGGTAACAGGAAAGAAGATACAATAATGTATAGTGTAACCTTTAAAATGGTAATAGTAAAGTAGATACAACAATGTGTAACATTTGAAATGTTACCAATAAAGTAGATACAACAATGTGTAAAAACTGAAATGGTAAAAGGAAAGTAGATACAACAATGTGTAACATTTTAAATGTTAACGGAAAAGCAGATATAACAACATGTAGCAATTGAAATGGTAAAAGGAAAGTAGATACAACAATGTGTAAAATTTGAAATGGCAACAGAAAAGCAGATACAACAATGAGTAACCTTCGAAATAGCAAAAGGAAAGCAAATACAACAATTTGTAACATTTGAAATGTTAACAGTAAAGTAGACAGAACAATGTGTACCAACTGAAATGGCAAAAGGAAAGTAGTCACAATAATGTGTAACATCTGAAATGCTAACAGTAAAGTAGATACGACAATATGTAATGCTTAGCTTAGGTTAGTTAGCTGGCCCATTTCTGTCTTTCCCGTGTTATACTGTGCCTTGTATGCATCTTAGTTATTCACCGACCTCCACGTTGGTTAAAATAAGTCTCCCCTTTTTTGTTGTGGTTCTTGTTGAAAAAGGCTGCGGTCAAAATGTCTGTTCCTATGTGCAATTTTTTCCCCTTTCCACCATCATTAAGCTATTTAATCACAGTTTAGTGGATTATCTCCACCTTAAAAGGGACAACTTATGGCTGTCCTATGGGTTGGAAGACTATTAAGTATACTGTTATTGTTAGATTAATACTGTCAGCATTTTTGTATAGAGCAAGTGGAAGACCTCGGAAATAATGGTGTGATGGCATTAAGAACAGCCTTACAGAAATGAACATAAGTCTTTATAGTGCTCTTGACAGAGCTCATCAACAAATGTTACATCTTCCCCCGACATTTCGCTTAGGTTCAAGGTGGAAGAGAAGAATACCTTTAATAAGCTCACTGTCAAACTCATCTTCTTCGGAGAATTCTGCCATCAGCATCATGATTGCCAAGTGGGCACCTGCTGAATGGCCGGCTAAGTAAATTCCACTGTGGATGGATAAATTGATGGATAAGACAACAAGCATATGTTAGTGAAAGGAAAAGTTGTTAGGTGAATGTGTCAAATATGAGAGAATTAATTATAAAAGCTGATGCATGGATGTGTTAAATATGAGTGAACAGAATACATAAGCTGACAGATTATTATGCTAAAAATGAATCAATAGATTACACATATGGTAATAGATGAACGTGTTAAATATGAGTGAAGAGATTACATAAAAGCTCATTAATGAATGTATAAAAGACAAATGAATGGATTACATGTAAACTGATGAATGAGTCGAGCACAGATAGCATTACCTGGCATACTTGGCTGCCTCTCATCAAGTGCATACAAGGTAAAGCCTTCGTCAAAAGATGAAAAGAACACAAGGAAGACCAAGAACAAGATGGAAAGATAACATCAGGGAAACTACAACATCATGTGTCCATAGTCAAGGTGACCAAAAGAGCAAAAAGCAGAACACTGTATCGTCCTTTACACCTAAAGAAGTAAAAGAGGAAGTGAAGAAGAAGAAGAAGAAGAAGAAGAAGGCCTTATACCTCCCTCTCCAATGTCAGAATCTGCTTTGGGACTACCTTCACTATTAGGACAAGATAAAATGTTATTTTATGTTATCACAAGTGATTTCAATAACAACTGGTCATTCTCATAACTGCCCAGTCCTCCACAGCAGCAGGTATCCCAACATACCTCTACTGACTTCCCCATAAGAAGCTGGTTATAAGGTTTCTTATCTTGGCCTTGAAGACGGCATAGATGTGCTTGGTGAGGCTTCACTCCAAGGCCACATATTCGGGCTGGCGTCTTTAGTCCACAGCCTATACGCTCTGCTGAAGGGGGGCTGCATGGTCTCTAGGTATGGTGTCCGCCTCGTGTTCTAGAGGTCCAAGGGTCACGCCCCGGTGAAGGCTGGGATTTTTTCACGTGGACTTAGTCTTTTCCCCTGGTCTCTGGGTAGTGAGATCAGAGGTCAGTGTGTATTGTTGCGCACTTAAATCCAGTGGCCGTTGGAAATAAAAAAAGAGTAGTCTAATGGTTCTGCCCGGACAAAATTTAGATTTTAAAATCTACCCAAAGAATTTGGTTGGTGCTATATAGCCCGTGTACTGCGCTGAGCTTCTTCGGACTCAGATTTGAGTTAGAAGTAGAAAGGAGCTCTTGACAGAGCTCATCAATGAATGTTACATCTCCCCCCGACATTTTGATGAGGTACGAGGTGGAAGAGAAGACAAAGAAGAAGACCCCTGTGTTACAATGATGCTGATCCAGTGTTGAAACTTCAAACTACACTCTGCTGAGATGATTGGAAACTCAGTGGTCACATGAGATTTGCTGCACTGGATTTCGGAGCTTGTCCCTGCTGCTTTGCAGTTCATTGAAAGGTGCACTTATATGAGCTAGGTTTTTTTTGGTACTTATCACAAAGTGTATATGTCAAGAGTGTTGAAGAAATTATGCCTTAAAAAAAAGTACCAGTGCTGTTGCATACTGCCTGATAAAAGCCTAGAGTGTATACTGCAGATTACCATGTGTGCCATGTTGATATTAATGGACTTGAGAGACGTTTTATATGAAGCACTTCCAGCCCAATATGAAAGATTAAGTATGGCAGAATGTTTTGCTTCAAAGTTATCTTTGCTTCTGATGGAGCTTTGCTAATGCAGTTTCTACATATGGACTGAAGTCTACAGTTTGATACTAAACCTACTAGGTTCAGTGCTTGGTGGAGCACTGTGAGCTAAAGTAAAGAGGCGGAGGAACAATCAGAACTTTCTGCTTGAGTTTACAGTCGGTGAATGCGAAGAAGAATAAGAAGGGAAGGGGGGGGGGGGGAGAGAAAAATGGTTTCAAGATCACTATAATCTGGTTTCCCCATACTTGCTCAGATCCTGTGCCAGTGCAAAGCAAATAAAATGTCCCTCATTGTTGCAATTGAAAAACTGGTGATCAAACAATGTCCGGGTTCAATCCAAAAATTTGCACACGCAGTAAATGTGTATTTCTGTTGCTAGAGGTGCCAAAGCCAACAATCATCACCAAAAATGTAGTTTGTCATTGATAAAAGTAGTCGGGCACGATAAGCTGGCTACTATACACATGTAGAATTATCACATAAGGTATTTCACCAGCTCATACGTAAACCTGTTACCAGCCATAGTGAATACCACGACACAACCAGTTTAACCGTGGGCTGACAAAATACTTCATGTAATAATGTTACGAGTGTATAGCCAAATTATCATGACTTACTATTTCCATTAACGCCAACTGCATGGTGGTGACTGTTGGCTTTGGCACCTCTGGTAGCTGCCATATGGATTTACTTTGTGCACATATTTATGGATTGTGTCAGGACTAATTGTTTATTCACCAGTTTTTCAAATAGAACATGATTTTCACTGGCACAGGAATGTAGCTAGCTAGTATGGGGCGATCCGACTGCAATGAAGTTGAAACCTTGATTAAGACTAAGACCATGGAAAGCTGTATAGATGTTCTTCAATTTTATTTTGTAATTTGTGTTTGTGGCTCTCTGGTGATCTTTCCGTCTTCTTTCAGGTCTGTATTCATGACTTACTTGTGCCCTCTGGCCAACAATATAGGATGTAATTTCTTTGCTTTATTCTTCACCCTGACTGTCGTTAGGGGCCCTAATTTAACCTAATGGTTCAACAGTGTTTTTGGGACTTGTGCCTCGGGGGGATTCTCATCTCAGTGATGGCACTTTGTGTCACCGAGTGTTAATTCCTCATTGTGCAGTTCTTGCGTGGTTGAACACCACTCACTTACCATCACTTTTCTATAGCTCAGATCCCATCCAAGCTTGACACACATTTGTTAACTTTCAACACACTCAGACGTTTCTCTAATTATTTTACGGTTTCACAACTGCTTCAGGAAGGTTGCCTCAGCAATTTTTCCTGTCTGTCGATATATGTACAATTTCACAATTGAAGTTCTCTTATTCTGATTCATATCTGCTTCATGAAGTCTGCCTTACTGGTTGTTCCTGTCTGGCGATACATATACAACTTCACGACTGAAATTCTCTTATTCTGTTTCAAGTTTGCCGTTCATTTATAATATGGTGACAACATAACAAAAGTAATTTTTAAAAAAAAACACCATTCTAATTGAATTATCTCGCAGACACCAGTATGAGGAAAGTTAAGACACCAGTATGATGAAGGTTAAGACACCAGTATGATGAATGTTAAGACACCAGTATGATGAATGTCAAGACACCTGTATGATGAATGTTAAGACACCAGTATGATGAAGGTTAGGACACCTGTATGATAAAGGTTAAGACACCAGTATGATGAAGGTTAAGACACCAGTATGATGAAGGTTAGGACACCAGTATGATGAAGGTTAGGACACCAGTATGATGAAGGTTAGGACACCAGTATGATGAAGGTTAAGACACCAGTATGATGAAGGTTAAGACACCAGTATGATGAAGGTTAGGACACCAGTATGATGAAGGTTAGGACACCAGTATGATGAAGGTTAGGACACCAGTATGATGAAGGTTAAGACACCAGTATGATGAATGTTAAGACACCAGTATGATGAATGTCAAGACACCTGTATGATGAATGTTAAGACACCTGTATGATGAATGTTAAGACACCAGTATGATGAAGGTTAGGACACCTGTATGATAAAGGTTAAGACACCAGTATGATGAAGGTTAAGACACCAGTATGATGAAGGTTAAGACACCAGTATGATGAAGGTTAAGACACCAGTATGATGGAGGTTAAGACACCAGTATGATGAAGGTTAAAACGCCAGTATGATGAAGGTTAGGACACCTGTATGATGAAGGTTAAGACACCAGTATGATGAAGGTCAAGACACCAGTATGATGAAGGTTAAAACACCATTATGATAAAGGTGAGGACAACAGTATGATAAAGGTTAGGACACCAGTATGATAAAGTTTAAGACACAAGTATGATGAAGGTTAAGACACTAGTATTATGAAGGTTACTTGCCTGCTTTGTCTTTCCTTCGCCAAATCGATGATTAACTGTAAGGCTTTTTTAACTTGAAAGATAATTCTGTCCAGCGATACTGGAAAACATTTATTTATGTTGTCAGAATAAATGAATGCCTATTTCTCCTTCCTCTTCTTCATCTGCTCTTAAAAGGATGGTTGCATATTGTACTGCTGTTTACAGCTAAGCTACAGTATCTGTGCTTTACTGCCTAAAACATCTGACTTCAGCAAGTCCTTAATTAGTAACTTGTATGACATGCTTAAAATGCAGTGACGGTGGATCTGTATGTCTCCCCCCCCCCCCCCCATGGGGCAATGAAACGCAGAAAAGAGGATCATCCATTTCAGAATATGTAAGGACATGATACATGATGGTAACCCTACAAGTTAGGTCTACCCACTCCACCCTCAAGACTTCTTTTTAAGTATTATTTTCCCTGTGTGAGTTCCAGGTCCACTTTTGGGTGATAAAAGAATAGACACCCCTCCCCCCCCCCTATAAAAGTAAAAAAATTAAGGGTGTTTTCTTTAGTCAGTGCATCTGCCTGAAAAGTGAGGAACCAACAGTCTGCATACAAAAAAGCTTTATTTGTTAAATGGATGTGTACTATTCTCCTCTCCCTGTGTGGGTTCCAGGGTTCAATTTTGGAACAGACACACTGCCCACTCCTTCCCCCTCAAGCATGTCGTAAAAGGTGAACAATTACGTGTATTTTCTTCAAAGTCAGGGCATATGTCTGAAAAGCAAGAAACCAACGGTCTTTATACAAATAAGCCAGATTTGTAAAATGGATGTGCATGCAAAAGACGAGTTCTGGAACAAAGTCCAGAAGCATACGAACAGCCAGGACTTTCCACTGCAGTCTGTGGTCAATGAAAGCGAAGAAGAAGAAGTTCTATTTGAATGTTTTAGATTTTATTTCAGTGAAATCACACATTTCTATAGAAAGGTTGTTATGTAAATAAAACAAGTGCTCTTTTTTACATAACTGGTGCACTCGAATACAATGATTATCATCAAGCAGCTCAGCTGGCTCTTTACGCAAGGATGAAAGTCTCTCTTTCTTTCTCTAGCCAGTTAGTCATTAGTGATTAGAAAGGATTATATCATCACAGCACTCCGGACAGATCCATAGATGCTCCGATCTCCTCCTAAAAAGCTCCACAAGTGTAAAACGACTGATGACGCCTGTTCTGTGTTGGCTAATGAGACTTCTTGTCCCCTTAGTGAAATGTTAATTTCTTGCAGCACCAGGCTGCACCCCCATGTCCATCAGTCTAGACAGGGATATAGAGTCATGTCCTTTAGCGTGCTCCTCGTTATGGTAAGTGCAGCGCATAGCATTGATAACATCATTTCTGTCCAGTACTGGGCCAGCCATAGCAACTACAGTGTAAGCAAGTTAGTCTGCACGCTCGTTCCCTTGAACACCCGCATGACCTGGCACAAAGATAAAGGTTAGGGCAGATATTCGTGAAGTGCTTAGTGTTTCAATCCGTTCTTGCCTGATAAATGCAGCTTGGATTTTTTCAAGCCTACTCATCGAGTCACTAAGAAAGCATTACGTGTGTGAACTTTTGAGTACCAAGCCATGCTAAAGCCCTTGTTACAGCCATAGTTTCCATTGTAAGGCTACTAGTTGTTACAGCCATAGTTTCCATTGTAAGGCTACTAGTTGTTACAGCCATAGTTTCCATTGTAAGGCTACTAGTTGTTACAGCCATAGTTTCCATTGTAAGGCTACTAGTTGTTACAGCCAAAGTTTCCATTGTAAGGCTACTAGTTGTTACAGCCAGTTTCCATTGTAAGGCTACTAGTTGTTACAGCCATAGTTTCCATTGTAAGGCTACTAGTTGTTACAGCCATAGTTTCCATTGTAAGGCTACTAGTTGTTACAGCCATAGTTTCCATTGTAAGGCTACTAGTTGTTACAGCCATAGTTTCCATTGTAAGGCTACTAGTTGTTACAGCCAAAGTTTCCATTGTAAGGCTACTAGTTGTTACAGCCATAGTTTCCATTGTAAGGCTACTAGTTGTTACAGCCATAGTTTCCATTGTAAGGCTACTAGTTGTTACAGCCATAGTTTCCATTGTAAGGCTACTAGTTGTTACAGCCATAGTTTCCATTGTAAGGCTACTAGTTGTTACAGCCATAGTTTCCATTGTAAGGCTACTAGTTGTTACAGCCATAGTTTCCATTGTAAGGCTACTAGTTGTTACAGCCATAGTTTCCATTGTAAGGCTACTAGTTGTTACAGCCATAGTTTCAATCTCTAGCCAGTTGCTCAAGGCTTCCTACTAGTTGTAAAGTACAGCCATTGCATATCGGTTTCAGGTTCTGTGCCGCAGGTTCTTCATGTCTAGTCTCTGGTTGTTTTCCAACATGTTATTTTAGATCAACTGATGCTCAATAGGTGATATGGTCAACACTGCACCAGCCGCCTTTACTTTCCAGGATACTTTTTCTAGTACCTATTTGAGGTTGGGACACCCTGTGTCTTTCATTTATAATTCCACCAAGATGTGAAATGTTATCCAGGACCTTCAGGTTAGCAGGCAAGCGTGTAGCCAACGCATTACCACTGCTCAACTCCCTTGCATTTACATGACACATGCACTTTGAGTTCCACTTTCTGTGCACACTTCACTGTTTACATAATTAACTATACCCTGTCTTTACACAATGATCACATGTTTTGTTTAGTTTCTTTACATATTTAACTATGCAACATAAACTACATCATTTTCAGTTGTGTGCAATATATGGGTAGATGAAAGAGAAGCGCATTCTTGAATGTAAAACTTGGTGCGATGCAGTACAGAATTGAACACGATGTGATGAGAGAGACTGTTGGCTCTCCGACTTTGGAGAGGAAGGACGTGTAAATGTATGCTCTAGTCTGGGTGTTACCAGGCTAGACTTGTGCACTATGTGTCACGCTAGGGAACAGAATACAGTGTTCATGTTGCTGGCAAGTGCTGCAGCAGTAAAAAGTTTCCAGCGTGAGGGCTCACCAAGGTAACGTGACAGGCCACAGACGAGAGGTCTGGATAGTTTTCCCAAAGATGTGCATTGACCTGGATGGTCTCTAGCGACAGTGACCTCAACATATAGGAGTCGTTGGAATGACAGGCACGTTATTCACGAAAGTGGATTTGTGCGATTGGGTACTGATTGCCCGTAACAACCAATGTGACAGGAGAAGTCCTTCGGAGCAACGTCCTGTATTCACACCTGTGTAGGAGAAGAAATGACTGTAATACTGAATTAAGTGTGTCTCATGATGCAATCAGTTTTTTTTTATATCTGAATATAGTGTGGACTTTGTCAGTGGACCTGTGTTTGGAGTTATATTGAAAGGGAGTTGAGTCCAGTAAGACTGAAATAATTGAGTGACCCCCCAGACTCTTGGCAAGTGTGTGAGGCATAATGCTATCTAGTACTCCTCCAGCGAACTTCGCATGCGTCACTCGCACTCTACATATATATTTGCATTCTTTGTTCCATTCCTAATACCCTAAATCAATTTAACCATCTGTATATAAAGGGCATACTCTTTGTATTGTTTATATTTTCCAATAACTGTCATTCTATATCAAATTAATTATATACTGTTTTTATACTCTATTAACCCTATTTTCTGTATATAATTGATTTAACTACATTAACTCTATTATATATTCGATTTCCCAAATATGTTTCCCTCAGTTTATTTTATGTTTTGTACTGTACAAAATTAACTATACGGCCTTATCCAAAACTCACTGTGTTTATCTGGCTTTCATGTTAACTCAATACAATGTCAACTATATTATTTATATCTAAAACCCACTCTCTCTATCCTGCTCTCATGTTTTGTACACATGTTTACTCAATACAAAGTCAACTATACCATCTTTATCCAAAACCCATTCTCTCTATCCTGCTCTCATGTTTTGTACATATGTTTACTCAATACAAAGTCAACTATACCATCTTTATCCAAAACCCATTCTCTCTATCCTGCTCTCATGTTTTGTACATATGTTTACTCAATACAAAGTCAACTATACCATCTTTATCCAAAACCCATTCTCTCTATCCTGCTCTCATGTTTTGTACACATGTTTACTCAATACAAAGTCAACTATACCATCTTTATCCAAAACCCATTCTCTCTATCCTGCTCTCATGTTTTGTACACATGTTTACTCAATACAAAGTCAACTATACCATCTTTATCTAAAACCCACTCTCTCTATCCTGCTCTCATGTTTTGTACACATGTTTACTCAATACAAAGTCAACTATACCATCTTTATCCAAAACCCATTCTCTCTATCCTGCTCTCATGTTTTGTACATATGTTTACTCAATACAAAGTCAACTATACCATCTTTATCCAAAACCCATTCTCTCTATCCTGCTCTCATGTTTTGTACACATGTTTACTCAATACAAAGTCAACTATACCATGTTTATCCAAAACCCACTTCTTTATCCTGATTTCATGTTCTGCACATATGTTTACTCAATACAATGTCAACTAACCTTCAGGGGCTAGATCATAACCAAGAGCAATCACAGTAGCACCAGCATTACACAAAGGCACAGCTAAAAAACTAGAATTCTCTCGGCTGAAGAAAAAAAACAACCATAAATAAATAAATACATGTAAAAACAATGGTTAAGTCACCCTTCATTTTCCAGGTTCAGTATAAGTCATGGTTCTTTCATAATATCCTACCCCAGATGACCTCACCGGACAGTCCAACATTTTAGAGGGTGGTAAGACTGACTTTCCCAGCTTTCTGATGCTTTTTACGACCCCAAAATAATGAGGGCTACACACAATCATCAATAAAAGGCAGCTGTTATGTTTTGGCCAGATTAAAGTTCAAGACTATATCAGAAGGAGACAATCTACATTATTTGGTCGTCATGAAAAAGAGGAAAGGGAAGTGCATCATGATGTGGGGAACATTGCTGGGGGAGAGAGGCACAGGGAGATCAAGGCAGAAGATGCTGGAGAGTTTGACATGGCCTGGAAGGTCATCTGCGTCAGAAATTATTCAATGTAAACTTCTTTTTCCTTGTTCATCAGATGTAAGCTCCTGTGGAAAGTCCTGGTTGTTCATCCATTTGGACTTCAGCTTTATGGAAGGGCCTGAGTTTTGCATGTACATCTGTTTTATTGGCTTTTCTGTGTGCAGTTGGTTGTTCCTTGCCGCTCAGGCAGATGCACTCAGACTTTTAAGGAATTAATAGATCATCATGGTGTGAGCAGAATGATGCAGCAGTGACCAGAGGATCTGGCCAACCCTCCACATTCAGGGTAACATGTGAAGGCCGGGCTTCCCCAAAACAGGTCTACGGCTGGCCGACAGGTTCAGAAAACATCTTTTGGATGTGCAAAATGATGCTCTGAAACCAGTAACGTTACACTTCAATTCCCAGGATCACCAAAGTGTCCTCAACATGGAGGTGACAGCCATTAAATCCAGCCATTCCAGCGACAGAGTCCGCAAGTCTCTTGAGAATCGCTTTATTTATTTTTTCCCCCAGCCAACACATGTAGCGATTCTGATAAGAAACAACCGACCCCGCTGCTTCAAGATACCAGCGAAGTGATTTTTTTGTATCTGTGTAGTACTGTTTGATTTGTATGTGCTGATGAAGGCTTAACAGCTGCAACATTCACGTTTTGTTTGTATTTGTTATATTGTGAAGCTTGCTAATATACTTTTCATTTGGTTTTATATCTTTTCTCCACATTCAGGGGAAAGGCAATACGGACATACAATCAAACTCGGACATTCAATCAAACTTCTACTTGCACCAATGGAATTTGATTTCAACAATGGCTGCTGAAGATAGGGATATAGTGAATAGCAGAATGTCTCAAGTGCTGGGATGTTGGTTGTTAACAGAAATGAACTCCCCTCGACACATCCTAACAGCTGTTTATATCTGGTTTGTTTTCTCTCCTATTTAAATGTCACCAGCCATCCTATCATGTAACAGGCTTAACCCAGTTATTCTAGTCTATTCACTTGCCAATTAAGTGAACCTGTGGTGTTTTCTGTTTGCATGAATTACCATCGTTGCACTCAGGATATGACCATAGGTGCTCCAACTCTGTAATATATCCATCAGTAAACAACAACGCAGCTTTCAGACAATCATTGTAAGTTACACTGAATGTTTCATTCATTTGCATATTTGTCTCAAAATATTATTCCCAGCACAAATACCTCAAACAGTCAGATGCATTGGAACATACCAATGCCCTGCTTTATACGGCAGGTACAACGTAATTACATCCTTGAATGAATGCAGAAGAGAAAAAAAGAAGAATATACATCTCTGTTGTCTCCAAGCCTTTCCTAACATGTTCATTCAGTACAACTCATGTTTGTTAGCCCGTCTTGTTCGGATGGGTGATTTTGTAGCAGTTACCATGAGCTGTTCTAGGTTCTATGGGTGTTATGTGTTGCTTGTTTTAAGTACATCCACCACCGACAACAGCCACTGCCAACGAGCGTAAACATACAAAAACATAAGTGATTCACTACTTATGAATTGTCGCACCTTCGGCATTTCCCTTACAGTAATTCTTCTTTGCACAAAGTTGCCTTGGTCGCCTGAGACCTACTCAGAAACACCACTTGTTCACAAAAAAAGAGAAATGCAAAAAAAAAAGAAAGCTGTGCAGTTTTATCTGGGAGACGGTATGTTGACCTCGTCAAACAAATATGAGTCACATTTCGGCACGCTGTTTACAGACAGCAAAGGAAGAAATCTCATAATACCCCTACAACATAAGGCGACCCATGGGTACCTCTACAAAATCAGGCCGCTGAACAAGATGGGGTGAGAATCATGAGTCGTATCATTTATTCACATCCAAGATTCACTGCCAACCACCTTGTGTGGGTTCTGGGACATCATTATGGGGGGTTGAGGGAGACCCACTGCACCCTAACAAACATGTCAATACTTTGAGTGGGTTACAAGACACCATTATGGGGGGGGGGGGGGGGGGGGGGGGGGGTGAGGGAGACACACTGCACCCTAACAAATTTGTCAACACTTTGAGTGGGTTACAAGACACCATTATGGGGGGGGGGGGGGGGGGGGGGGGGGGGGTGGGGGGGAGGGAGACACACTGCACCCTAACAAACATGTCAACACCTTGTGTGGGGACATCATTATGGAGGGTTGAGGGAGACCCATTGCACCCTAACACACATGTCAACACCTTGTGTGGGTTCCGGGACATCATTATGGAGGGTTGAGGGAGACCCACTGCATCCTAACAAACATGTCAACACCTTGTGTGGGTTCCAGGACTTCATTATGGAGGGTTGAGGGAGACACACTGCATCCTAACAAACATGTCAACACCTTGTGTGGGTTCCAGGACTTCATTATGGAGGGTTGAGGGAGACACACTGCATCCTAACAAACATGTCAACACCTTGTGTGGGTTCCGGGACATCATTATGGAGGGTTGAGGGAGACCCACTGCACCCTAACAAACATGTCAACACCTTGTGTGGGGACATCATTATGGAGGGTTGAGGGAGACCCACTGCACCCTAACAAACATGTCAACACCTTGTGTGGGGACATGATTATGGAGGGTTGAGGGAGACCCACTGCACCCTAACAAACATGTCAACACCTTGTGTGGGGACATCATTATGGAGGGTTGAGGGAGACACACTGCACCCTAACAAACATGTCAACACCTTGTGTGGAGACATCATTATGGAGGGTTGAGGGAGACACACTGCACCCTAACAAACATGTCAACACCTTGTGTGGGGACATCATTATGGAGGGTTGAGGGAGACACACTGCACCCTAACAAACATGTCAACACCTTGTGTGGAGACATCATTATGGAGGGTTGAGGGAGACACACTGCACCCTAACAAATATGTCAACACCTTGTGTGGAGACATCATTATGGAGGGTTGAGGGAGACACACTGCACCCTAACAAACATGTCAACACCTTGTGTGGGGACATCATTATGGAGGGTTGAGGGAGACACACTGCACCCTAACAAACATGTCAACACCTTGTGTGGAGACATCATTATGGAGGGTTGAGGGAGACACACTGCACCCTAACAAATATGTCAACACCTTGTGTGGAGACATCATTATGGAGGGTTGAGGGAGACACACTGCACCCTAACAAACATGTCAACACCTTGTGTGGGGACATCATTATGGAGGGTTGAGGGAGACACACTGCACCCTAACAAACATGTCAACACCTTGTGTGGGGACATCATTATGGAGGGTTGAGGGAGACACACTGCACCCTAACAAACATGTCAACACCTTGTGTGGAGACATCATTATGGAGGGTTGAGGGAGACACACTGCACCCTAACAAACATGTCAACATCTTGTGTGGGTTCCAGGACTTCATTATGGAGGGTTGATGGAGACCCACTGCACCCTAACAAACATGTCAACACCTTGTGTAGGTTCCGGGACATCATTATGGAGGGTTGAGGGAGACCCACTGCACCCTAACAAACATGTCAACACCTTGTGTGGGGACATCATTTTGGAGGGTTGAGGGAGACCCACTGCACCCTAACAAACATGTCAACACTTTGTGTGGGTTCCAGGACTTCATTATGGAGGGTTGAGGGAGACCCACTACACCCTAACAAACATGTCAACACCTTGTGTGGGTTCCGGGACATCATTATGGAGGGTTGAGGGAGACCCACTGCACCCTAACAAACATGTCAAAAACGTCAACTAATTATCGGTGTTTCTTTCCAAGATGGAGTGCATCTGTCTGACAGGCAAGGAAGCAATAATCTGCACACAAATAAGTCACACAGGTGAAACAGATGTGCCTGCAAAACTCAAGTTCTGGAACAAAACTGAAGACCAAACGTGGACAAAGAAACTTTATGTTTACAGTAAGTGAACATGAAGAAGAAGAAGTTTGCCAATCAGTAGAACACATTCAACATAACATTTGTTATGTTTGTAAAAAAGTAATAACATAATGATGATGCTAAATTTGAGGAGATGAAGATGATAATGCTTAAATAGCTGACCTACTTTAACTCCTTGATTTGCCAATATCCTCCGTGAATATATACCATTATTGGGGCACCTACAAAAAGAAAATATACACTTTAAGATAATGTCTACATTCATGAACTCATATTTTCTTCTTCTTCTGCTGTGCTTATCCTTAAAATGTGAGTGGCACATTGTGTTGTGGTTTACAGCCAGACTTCGTCTTTAAACCCAAAACATTTGATTTCAGAAAATCCTTGATGTGACCCACTTTTGTTTGGTGAATAAATTTAAAGGTTTCTTTACACAGTTGTAGCACAAACAATGTTTAGGGACTGTAAGTCACTCTAGAGCATAACTGTATCAACAGTTTAATTGATAACTTGCATCACAGCACTCAAAACATTCCGTAAAGTCCCCATCTTCAGCAGCTAGTGCATATTTCCAATATGAACGGCACAAGTAGCAACTTGATTTTATATCTTCTTGCCTTTCCTCTGCCATTAACGAAGTCAGTCAGAGCTTTTGAACTGAAATGCTATGGAAATTCTCAGAATACCATGGACCAAGAAAAGAAAATACTGACATCATGAAAGATTTGAACACTGAAGAAGATTAGCTAGTAAAAAGCATCTTGTTTCAGATACTGATATATTTTGGCAATATCAAGTGCCACTGCGGACTGGACAGGAAAACAGCAGAAGGCATGGTGCCAGGAAAGAGGGGCAGGGGTCAACCAGCACGAAGATGGGCACAGGGTATAAGTAATAACTTGGAATTGGAAAGTGTAAGAGGCAGTGATGTGGTAAGATAATTCTTTCAGACAGGCTGTAAAGACAGCGACTGTCTGCAAAGGACCAGCCACATGTTGATGGTGATGCATTTCCTCTGAGTGCGGAGTGTCTGCCAGATCATTTGGTCACTTCCAGCTGCACATCCCCCCCCCCCCCCCCCCCCCCGAAAGTTTATCAAAAATGTGTGTTTCATGTTGAAAATGCACCTGGATTTATTAGTTTGTAGCTTAAACTATATTTGTAAGACAACCTACCTCTCTTTGGTGTATTCTTCTTGTGAAAGATGTCCATCTTCTGTCCCTGTGAGTTTCCATAACTGACTGCTGCTTCACAGTCTAAAGTCCACATTGAAATTCTGCTGCCTGTATACTCATGTGACACAATTATGAGTGACAATGGATTCATACCTCAGTGATGAATGTGATTGAAAGAGAGAGAGAGTGAGAGAGAGAGAGAGAGAGAGAGAGAGAGAGAGAGAGAGAGAGAGAGAGAGAGAGAGAGAGGGGGAGTGAGGGAGGGAGGGAGGGAGAGAGAGAGAAAAGAGAGAGAGTGGGAATGGGGGGAGGAGGAAGAGAGAAGACTGGGAGAGTGAAGACTGGGAAAGAGAAGACCGGAAAAGTGGAGAATGGAAGAGACCTGACCAAGTGGGAAAGGAGAAACAGATATTTAGAATGGATGGTTGTGTAGAGACAATGTAGAGAAGGTTGTTGTTCCAGCGGCGCATGAGCTTTTGCCCTTTGGCCCAATGCCATGTTGTGGAATTTACATGTTTTCACCAGGTGTTCTTTTCCCCCGTACAAGGTGTTCCACCTGTCTGGTCTCGGAGGGAGTAGCATTCTTCTAGTCTTGCTGAGTTTTGTGCACTCAAAGAGACGGTGTTCAACAGTTTAATGTAGAGAAGGTAAAGTGGAGGTTATTGGGAAGTACAAGAGATAGAAGAAGCAGGCAGGCAGAAAGGATGAAAAGGGAGGAGACAGGGGTGAGAGACAAAGGGAAATGTAAAGCAGGGAAACAAATAGAGAGCCTGAATGAAATGTTGGCTATTTTAATTTTTGGAAATTACTTTTAAAAAAATCCTGAAAAAAAGTTTACATTGGTAACTAAAAAAATGTTTTATGTTTTTATCTACCCCCCTCCCCCCTTTTTCCCAAAATGAAACAATATACAAAGGGAGCAATCAATAAGCACGGCCAGAGTGAATCATTAAATGGAATACATTAACTGGGGGTTTTACGTCCAAAAAATAAATTGTGTCAGGTGACCTTAATCACCGAAGCTGTAAGAAAATGTAAAGTTTAAAACAGATAGATGGTTCATAAGAACCCCCCTCCCAAATGCTATTCTTAGTTAATATTTTCATATCCTGATCTCCTAAAATGCTGTGCAAGTGTAAACATAGCCAATGGCATTAACTAGGCATCTCGTAAACATGTCACCATAGAAACGCCAGGTAAGTGTTATTCTCTAGGAACTGAAGCTTACCATATATGCCAGATTTGTGGCTTCCAGAGGTGAAAGGGTTAATTAACCCTTTTGATTCACTTATACATGAAGCGTGCAAAAGACCAGTATTGAAAGTGCACTGTATGCATGTCTATCTTTGGAACATTAGCCAGACCTGGTATATGAAAAGACTGAACCTTGAAGGTGCTCCTACTTCTGTCTGTGTAAAACTGGCTCTTCATCTTCCAACTCAACAGCTTAGAGAGTCCATAAACAACTCCCTTGAGGGTTCCAGGGCCGAATTCTGAGAAGGTCATTCTGTCATAACAGTAGACTAATAAGAAGTGCTTATATTAAAGTCAGAGTGCATCCACCTGAGAGGTGAAGAATCAAAAGTCTACATGCCTCATATATAAAATGGATGTGTAGGCAAAGCTCAAGTTCTTTAACAAGACCACAGTCTAGAAGTGGACAAAAACCACAACTCTCTGTTCAAGTTTAGTCAGTGAACTGGAGAAAAAGAGAAATTAAGAATAAACATACATGCTCACCTTTCTCTACTGCCTCTACATGATTTGCTATGACTTCATCTGGGCCCATTCTGTGTGACCATCGACTTGGAGAATAATGGAACTCCAACTCCTGAAGTTTCCAAAGTATAAGACACACTTATTTTTTTTAAATGTCAGTCTAAAAACAAAAGTAATAGATTCTGTGATTGTCTTTGTGCTCAGTGTTTCCCACTTGTTACATTATGTTAGGTAAATATGAAAACAGTGATTCGTCATCAGCATCACAGACAAGGTTAAGCTAAAGAATATGATATGGATAAGAGTTTTGACAGTGATGAGTTTTTTAAATTCTATGATGAATAAAATGTGAGTTCAATCTCTTTGTGCTATCGTTTTATTGTTTTCAAAATTTCTGGTCCCAAAATCAAGATGCGCCTTATATATGGGAAGCTCTTATACTAGGGAAATATGGTAAATCATCTGAGCTTCCTAGTTGTTCTTCTTCTTCTTAGCGTTTACTAGCTGTAAACTCCAGTGAAAATTCCTGGTTGTTTGACCACTTCTGGGGGTTTGTGTTGTTCAACATTCCTTATTTTTATGCAGACTTTTGGTTCCTTGCCTCTCTGGCAGATGCATTCAAACTAGACATGAAAATGTCTGAAAAGACTGATATGGACTCAAGGAGCCACTATTCCGATGTGAATCCAACAGAAGCCAATGCCCAGAAACCCGGTTCAACCCTACAAAACATAAATTTGGGTCAACCTATACTTAGGAAGTAACCTGCTGCCCAGTGTGGGTTATGGTGCTTTGGTGAACAACAGCAGGATATTATAAATAGACAATATGTGTTATTTTTTATGTTTACGAGAGTTCATCATCATCATTGGCAGATACAGTATACCGTTGGGTCTCAGTTGCTGTTGACTGTCTGATCCCCATCCTCGGCCTCTGTCAGTCAGTCAGATGAAATATACTCCATGTGTTGCCTGTTCAAGGCCTGTCCAGTCAGCCAAGCTTTGTATCCAGGTCTTTCTTGGTCTGCCTCTTCTCCTCTTCCACTCTAGTGACAATGTAGTATTGTGTCAGAGAGGCCGACAGATCTGATGAAATATCTGTATCATTGGACTTTGCATTTTTTCACTGTTGTAAAAGACGTTCACATTTGCCAATGTTTTGATAGTTAAAGAGCACAAATTACCTGGTCTGGAATTGATGTCATTTTGCTCTACACATGGACAACTAGACTTCCCTCGACACTGTAATGTACCACAGTTCATTCACGCTGTCAATTATAAAAACATGACATAAGAACACCAAAAGATCATTGACATTTAACAAAATGTCACTTTGCTTCATACAAAGATATGTTAAAATCATCTCTTCATACTGTCATCTATGACAATTCTCTCATGTTCTGAATTATAAATAATTAGATAAAAACCCAAAAGGTCATCATATTCAACAGCATGCCATTTTTCTATACATATCATAAACATTACAAATATGTTTTCACATATGAAAGTTCATTTACGTTGTGAACTGTGAAAATAAAATAATATAAGAACATCGAAAGGTGAGCATTCTTCTTTCTGTTCGCTTGAAATAAATTATCTATATCTGCAAAGTTGTCTCTAGTATGAACTTCAATGTCTTTTGTAATTCACTCAGCGACCTACAAAGTTTGACTTGCACCGATCTTTCTCTTGCCTACAAATGTTACCTTAATATGTTGGATTGTTGCTAACTCACCGACTTTCTCCCTGCCATTCAACACATGCACACACACAACAACTAGAGCATCAACTGTGGTGATCAGAAATGACCAGCCCTCTAGATCTGGCTTGCAGAACATGTGAAGTTATTGAGAACTGTGGTGATCAGAAATGACCGGCCCTCTAGATCTGGCTATCTGAACATGTGAAGTTATTGAGAACTGTGGTAATCAGAAATGACCGGCCCTCTAGATCTGGCTTTCTGAACATAGGAAGTTATTGAGAACTGTGGTGATCAGAAATGACTAGCCCTCTAGATCTGGCTTCCTGAACATGTGAAGTTATTGAGAACTGTGGTGATCAGAAATGACCGGCCCTCTAGATCTGGCTTCCTGAACATGTGAAGTTATTGAGAACTGTGGTGATCAGAAATGACCGGCCCTCTAGATCTGGCTATCTGAACATGTGAAGTTATTGAGAACTCTGGTGATCAGAAATGACCAGCCCTCTAGATCTGGCTTGCTGAACATGTGAAGTTATTGAGAACTTTGGTGATCAGAAATGACTAGGACTCTAGATCTGGCTTGCTGAACATGTGAAGTTATTGAGAACTGTGGTGATCAGAAATGACTAGCCCTCTAGATATGGCTTGCTGAACATGTGAAGTTATTGAGAACTGTGATGATCAGAAATGACTAGCCCTCTAGATCTGGCTTGCTGAACATGTGAAGTTACTGAGAACTGTGGTGATCAGAAATGACTAGCCTTCTAGATCTGGCTTGCTGAACATGTGAAGTTATTGAGAACTGTGGTGATCAGAAATGACTAGCCCTCTAGATCTGGCTTGCTGAACATGTGAAGTTATTGAGAACTGTGGTGATCAGAAATGACTAGCCCTCTAGATCTGGCTTGCAGAACATGTGAAGTTATTGAGAACTGTGGTGATCAGAAATGACTAGCCCTCTAGATCTGGCTTCCTGAACATGTGAAGTTATTGAGAACTGTGGTGATCAGAAATGACTAGCCCTCTAGATCTGGCTTGCTTTCTGAACAAGTGAAGTTAGTTGTGTATCCTTGACAGGACATTGCAAAACCTACCCCGGCATCTTTTGAGTGTTGTAGTTTTTCTAAGCAAATTTTTTCTTCAGTAGTTTCCCACTGCTTTTGGTTGCTCTCTAAGGACCAACATTGGCTTACTCTCCAAGGAAGCAGAACTGGTCTTGCAGTGGATACCAGCCCACTGTGGTATTCAAGGAAATGAGAGAGCAAATGAGTTGGCAAAAGCTGGGAGTAATCTTCCACAACCTCATCCACCACACAGCTACAAGGAAACCAAAACAGCGATAAAGCCGTCTTTCAAGCGGGAGTGGAGAAGGCAGAATGGAGATTACAGACCAGAGAGTGTCAGCATAAACAAACTAAACAGGAAAGAAAAACATTAATTTTTAGACTTCGGACTGGATACTGGTCTTCGAGCACACCTGTACAGGATAGGCATACAAGAATCTGCTGCCTGTGATTGTGGAGCAGAAAGACAGACCCCCGGGCACATGCTATAGTACTGCCCTTACCTCTCCCAGCAGAGACTGTGAATCTGGCCCAAGGGAGCCACATTGCAAGAGAAGCTATGGGAGAGCGGTGGCGACCTTAAATGCACATTCCTATTTGTGACCCAGATGGTACTCAATGTTTAGCATAACTGATGTCGAACGCAGAAGAAGAAGAAGAAGGTTGCTCTCCATATGATGACTGAAACCAATGCAAGATGGTCTGCTGTCAAACCGCCTGCAGCTGGGATCGAACCGATCCTCCTGGCATTATGAAGTGTGTCTTCAACATTAAAGCCACAGATGCCGAACTTACACCTGTGCAAACCGGTTGTTGTGTTATGTAAACTTTTACACAGAAAAGCTTATACAGATTTTTCGGCTCTCCTCCCAACTTCTACCCCTGCAGTATTGCGGCCTGAAATATCTGTTGGAGGCGCAGTCCAGTTAAAAATATGGACTTGTCGGAGTTCCTGCTGAGGAACAAATTGCGGCAAAACTAGGAGTACCTTACAATGTCACGAGACGCAACATTGTGGACTATAGTAGCAGACGATAAAAGCGACAGTTGACAATTTTGAGACATTACAGATGAAGAAAGCGATATGGCGGGTAGACCACGCGCCCCCACTCAGATTAGTAATGCTGTTCTTCCGATTGAGGATTTAGCAACGGTAGACGTCAGACTTGTCGGCATGCGCAAAACACGATTAAACTCACCGCCGAGGGTATCCCCACCCAGGTGCCTGGGACTCACGAGCAAAGTAATTGGAAGAAGTTGCAGGAGATGCGGTAGCTGCCGCTCGTGAATATCGCTGAGACCCTGTTAGAGCATTTGTTTCATTTTTCCGAGCCGATCCTAGATTTGCCGCGATTTGTTCATCGGCAGAAAGTCCGACAATGGAAAGTGTCAACGGTCGCTATTATTATCGTCTGCTAATATCATCTGCAGTGTTGCGTGAGTCTCTTAGAATTGTCAAGTAATCAGAAACAATAAGAAATAGGTCCGCAAGTAACATATCGCTGAGACCCTGTTAGAGCATTTGTTTCGTTATACGGAGCCAGCATATTTTTAATTGGACTGCGCTCCGAACGGATATTTCAGGCCACAATACTGCAGGGGTAGAAGTTCGGAGGAAAGCCATTTATTCTTCCTTCAGGTGAAATACACATAAATTACACATAAAAACAGGATGAGCAACAAGTGGTCACTGATTGGTACTTAAACTTACATAAGAACACAAGTGGACACACTAGACAACATAGATCAAAAGCTTTAGTTACTATGTCAGAGATGGGACATCTCACTGTCTCAATTTTACATATATTTGTATGTGTGTGTGTGTGTGTGTGTGTGTCACCAATTATAACCCTCAAAATTCAACAGGATATTATTTAAAATTGAATGACAAATACACATCTACACATAAAACACTGTCAATCAACAGTACAGTGGTGTCAATAAAAGGCACTGACTATAACTGCACACAACAGTTTTACCGAAGTCGAAGTATATGAATATCGGGCTCTCCTAGCACATTTGGACGCAAGCTGGACGGCTTCGGTCGGCTTAGTGAGAGTTCTCTCCCTTGGCCGCACTCAAAACAAGTAGCGGAAAAAGTCACGAATCAAACAAGACAGTGAGGTCGACATCAGGGCTGCCAATGCTTGGGTGTGTCCCCCAGATCTGGGGTTTTTTTTTTTGACACTGCGGGGGAAATCTGGGGTTTTTGTGTGTGTGTTTTGCCGATCTGTATGCTTTAATGACCGATAAATTTGCGTGGTTAGGGGTAGGATTAGGGTTAGAGTTAGGGTTAGGATTAGGGGTAGCGTTAGGGTTGCGTTTAGGGTTAGGGGTAGGGTTAGGATTAAGGTTAGGGGTAGGGTTAGGGTTACGGTTAGGGGTAGGGTTAGGTTTAGCATTAGATGTGACAATTTTGACGCCGTAGTTCCCTATAATTGCGCACAGTCACATACACACTCAAACAGTCGACGGACGGTGGATGCTACTGACACGGACAATTCGCCACCTGCCGCCCGCTATTGGTGTCATATTTGGCAGAATTTTAATGTCGCCACTCCCACAAGCATCAGATTGTCTGCCACTATTTCGACCTCCTACGTGAAAATTTTCACATCTAACCCTACCCCTAACCCTACCCGTAACCCTACCCCTACGCAACCCTACACGCAATACGCAGCCCTACACGCAACCATAGGATGATGATAGACACCATACGCAACCGTATGATGATAGATTACCCTAGACGCAACCCTACACGCACCCGGATGATGATAGGTAAGTATGTCATTTAATTTGTGACTTTTTCCGCTACTTTTTTTGAGTGCGGCCAAGGGAGAGAACTCCCACTAAGCCGACCGACCGACCCGCTTGCGTCCAAATTTGCTAGGAGAGCCAAATATCTTCTTTACAGAAGAGAACTCAAGGTGAACTATGAACTTTATATTGAGGAATGTAACTTCAACCAAATACATTGGACATCCCATACCAAGGTTGGACTGGCTGTTAGATAACTGTAGAGCAGAGGTGCCCTGTATTATACGGCTTTAACAAAATTTGTGGGATTTGTTTGATTCTAATCCTAGAGGTAGAGAGAGGTGAACAATGAACAATGTCATTTAACTACATAAAATTGAAAGGAACCGAACACTGTCACCTGTTACGGGCTTTGTCGCCAACGTTTTACATAATAACTATAAACAATCGATTACTGCAATGAAGGTCGTAGTAGGGTATTCTCGCCAAACAATAACGATTATCTGACTACGTACATGTGAAGTTATTGAGGAATGTGTCCTATTCCTGGCTTGTCGAAGTCACAACAGTGCAGTACGGCTGGTGCGAGATATGTAAACTTTCACACAGGAAAGCTACTATTCATGTCTGTTGGCTACAGGTGGTGAGTCACAGAACCCCTTGACACACCGAGTAGCCTATA